CGAACTCGAAAAGAAAATAATAATATAAAAAAAAATTAATATATTATATTTTTTACTAAAAAAATATGTAAATACATAAAAAAATAAATAAAATTACATTGAATTTTAGATTTTCTATTAAAAATATTATGTAAATATATATAAAAAAAGTTTATATTAAATTAATGTTGGTCAACATAATCAAACATTCACGAACGAGCTCGTGTTTGTTCGATTATTAAACGAGTATAATTTTCTATTCGAACTCGGCTCGATTAACAAACAAACGAGCTTTTGTCGAACACAAACGAGCTGGAACGAACTTTTGTTCGCGAACGTTCAATTTGTTTACGATAATCATTTCTTTATCCGCTCATATTATTTTCTTATCCTCAACATTTTCTTAAATTATTTTACATTACCCATCCGCTTTTCATGTTCTTTCTCTTCTCAAGTTAATTATCATTTTCTTCTCCTCAACATTTTCTAAAATTATTTTAAATTAATAATTTTGAGTTCTGATGATGTGTGAAAAGTGGCTAAATTCTGCCGGCCCATTTTTCTCCTTTTCACGCGTGGATAGAATGTCTAGAGTTGTGTGGAGTGTTGAAAGTTATGTTTAATTCTTTGTTTATTTCATAGCCATTGGATTACCTTTATTTTATTATTTGTGATCAAAGGCTTAAACTCACAGCAGCCCCATGACCCTTTTTTCTTCTTTCCCGTTCCAGAACTCTGCAAACACAAAGCTCTTTTCACCGGCGATTAATCAACTCTCTTCGCCGGCGCTAATCGCAGCACCCGAACTCGCCGGCGACGCCCTAACTTCTCGCCGTGAGACAGAGCCGAGAAGCCCATCCGAGGAGGAGCATCCCTTTCAGCCCCTTGCGACACCTCCGAGCAGTCGCCTCCCGTCGTCCTCTCCCTCTGCCTGTGCTCCAGCCACAACCACCGCGAGACTAACCGTTACCAGCCCTTTTTCCGGCGTACAGAGCAAACCCCGCGAACATCGCAGCCCAGCCTAGCCGCGAACAGAAACGGGTCGAGACCCGTCAGCCATCGACCGTGCAGCCCTTTTTCCCGCCATCGCGATCCTTCCTTCTCACCGGCGTCTCAGCCACCCCGTACGGCCGAGTAGCAGCCTACCAGGTCGCCGACGTCCCCTCCATCACAGGCCTGCAGCCGTCGCGAGCCTATTCTCGCCGGACGACAATGAACCACCGTTGCAGCGCCTCGCCGGTGTCCGAGCAGCAATCCGGTCAGCCGCCGTGAGCTGCAACCGAGTTCGAGCAGCGATCGGGGACCCGTCCGCGAATGCCGTGAAGCCCTGTTTGTAACCGTTCAGCCGGCACGAACCCCGATCTCGTGCGGAGCTTGAGGCAAACGGACAACGAGGGTCTCAGCCGAAGGGTACCACCATCTATAGCCGTCGCAAACCCAAGCCACAAGCTGCACATGGCCACTCCGTACGCATTCAGCCGTGGTCTGCTGTGTTTGAGAGGTAATATTTTATTACCTCATAGTGGTCGAGAGTTTTAGATGCTTGTTTATGTGTTGTGGTTGTGCCATTATTTTGACTTAATTGTTGTGGCTTATATATATATATACCTGCATCATATATATATGATATGCTTAAATTGAGGGTTATGAGTTGTATGGATTTGGGAGATTGAGAATGAATCTGGTGAATATATTGTACTTAGATTTTGTATTAATATTGTGGAGAAAAGCACTAGCGTGTTGTTTCTTGTTGCTTTTGAGAAATTGATTTAGATTTCATGCTTTAAGGTGACAGCAGAAGGTGTGATTGAGTCATGTTGGGGCTTACTTGATTATATAAGACTGCTGTTGTTGTTGTGTATTCAGTCAGTTAGTGCATAATGGTGTTGTTTTCATGGTAATGTGTGCTTAATGTTCATTTATAAGCAAGCATCATTAGAGTATAAGAAGTTGAGCATGAATTACATATTGTTGGAGAGAATTGTGTAACTGCATTTCTTGTCCTCACATTTCTCATTTAAATATACTAGTTGGGCTAAACAGAGGCCCAAAGAGACATAATCTGGTAAAGTAAATGCAAATGCTAATTAAATAGATACTTGTCCCCAAGGATCAAAGGAAGGAAGGAAATTTCTTCTGGATAAATTTCAGATCTTCCCATGTGGCGAGCTCATCATAACTATTTTCCCAACGAACCAGAATTTGCTCCACGTCAAGGCCATCGCGCTGAATGCTACGATGTGATACAACTCCGGAAGGCCGTACCTGAAACAACCCTTCGTCATCGGTAAGTGGCAAGGCTGATGAAAGTTACCTTCAACAGTGACCCTCGAACCCTCCGGTAGATCCAGTCGGTAAGCTACCTTTCCAATACGCTCCAAAACTGTGTATGGGCCAAAGTACTTTGATGAAAGTTTCAATTTTTTTCCTGATAGCAACTGTGTTTTGTGGAAAAGGTTGAAGCTTTAAGAATACTTGGTCACCGACATTGAACTCTCTCTCTTGTCTGTGTCTATCTACAATGTATGAGATTTTGAATATTTTTTTTTGACATGTGCCTAATAGTTTAAAGTTTTGGACTGTGGTACCACTTCAAAATGTTCTTGCTTTTCATTTATTTAATTTAATCTAATAATTTTGTTGCGAAGACAGACATCTATCCTAATGTGCAAGGAATTTAAACATATTTTTGTATTTGTACATAAAAATGGCTTTATGTTAATACAACTATCTTATTGTTGTAACAGGAACAGAGTTTGAGATGATGCATGTTTACCCAAAACAAAAACAGATAAGTATAGTAGTTATTCTGAAAAAAAAAATAAGAATCATACATTTAGTTTTTAGTTTTTAACATTAAAAATTTGTGTGAACTATTTTTTTTTTTTTTTTTTTTTTT